CTGACATAAAATTTGGCCAACCCTGATCTATGCGATCGATGCTAATCATGTAGAGACTATGGATCAGTGTCATTGATGGTTCTGCGAACAAAATAATAATAATAATAGTTTTAACCGTAATAGTAATAGTAGTAGTAGATGTTTTTGCTGTTGCTGTGATCTTCAACGACAGAATTTTATTTTCAGTGAGGATTTAATTCATACGATTAGTTTTTAATGCTAAAAATGGTTTTAGAACTCTTTGAATAGAAAAAAAAATCTGATGTTTTTAGTTGGATGATCGTTTTAATGATTTTTTTTCTTTTAGGAAGCCACATCAGTATATCATATTTCTTCGTATGTTTTACATGTCTTTTTTATCTAATTTTATGGTCCAAATATCGAGAGGGGAAAATTAATGCGTGCTATTTAATTTCCGAAGAACGCGGTTAGAGTAAGAACAAGACAAACAAAAAGTGATCATGGATAAAGTAACTAGCAGAATATTATTTCTTTCAAAGAAATCTACATTCCATTAAGAATACAAAGTAATTTTAATATTACAATACCCATCTGTAACGTCGACTCAATGATCTTGTAATGCCTCAAAGGCATCTCACATGAATAAGTCTTGACCGCAGTTTGCAAGACGGAGATCATTATGAGGATGCACCCATAATACATACACCAAAATATGTGTATACCTTTTGGAACCATACTGCCTGGAATAACCATACGGTTGACATAAAAATAAAGAAAGCATTAGCAATTTTGTAGTCATAGATAGTAATGTCTATTTATCACGCCTTCAAAGGCTTGCGATGGACTTTGCAGAGGTTCGACATTTGCAACAAGTACTTAATTGATATACGTTGGCGGGCCGCCAGTTTGAAACGACTGCTTGCATAGGATCGACATTGTCGATACCGTAGTAAAATCCAAATCAATTTTATCAAGATGCCTTTGTGAGCCTATTGAAGACCTGGCGATACTGTACGGAGTCGACCCTTTGCCGCATTGAGTTCTTAATGGGTATTTATACTTCAGAGGAAGTTATGTGCCAAATGTAATGTTATAACTTTGCTTTATACGGTTATTTCTTCTTCGGTGTATAGAGCAAAATAATATAGGAAAATAAAAATTTCTAATTGTTTTAAAATCTTTATAACTTTTTCAAAGGAGATTTAATTGCTACCATTGCAGTTGATTTAATTGCTTTATTTATTTCTTGAACATAGGCTAGCTGCAGCCGTGACTGTGACTGGCTTGGATATACTGACTCCGTTTATTGCTCAAGGAAGACTGAAGAGTGGTAAGCAAAACACCTTCAGCTAATTTTCTTTTCTTTCTGTTAAATTTCTCTAATGAGGTTTTCATTAACTTCTGGAACTGGAACATTGTAAATCTTGAACTTTATAATTCACTAGGTTTTCCTACGATGTTCTTACATACTTTGTGTTTTGTATATTAGTATACGTAGTTTCTATTACATAGAGTACTGTCGCGAGCTAAAGGAATATTGATGCTTCTTTAGTTCATGAATCCAGATAAGTAAAAGAAATGAATAATTTGTTAGGAAAATAATCTCAGCCAATAACACACACAACTCAATAACAGCTGGAAATAACTCAAGGACAACACGAATATTTAGCAATTTCTCCTTAGCGCATGAAATAAATCATTAAGTTCCTGAAATTATTCTCAGGGTAAGCCCTAACTCGTAGTTTAACTAATAACGTAAAGCCTCACAATGGATTCACAACTAAGCTTCTGAATACCAGTAACAGACTTTACCAGCTCAGATTCAGGTACTGCCTTTAACGGTGCTTGCCTTTGTTTGACTCATGACAATGTGATGATCCGTGAGGACGGAAAAAGGAGGTGGAGGGGAGTAGTACTAACCGTGCGTTACCATTAGAAGACATGCAGACTCATGCTGCGACTCAGTTCTCCGATTTGTTTTTAGACTCTGGAAATTTCGGCAAGAATCTGTCATAGGGCTTCGAAAATGTGTTTACGCGAATCTTCCAAAAAATCGCCAAAACTTGTGACCGGGGTACTTTAAATACGAAATCGCTTATATTTCTTGTTCTATTTGAGCTATTTTTCCAACTTCAAAGCCTTTGCATTCAGAATTAAAAGATCTACGTAGTGTGCAATGAATAAACGTTAAATTCAAGACATGTGGCCACAAATTATATTAAACGCAAAACAAACCATAAAATTACCATTATAAAACAATAAATAAATAAGTAAAGAAATACAAAATGTTACAACAATAACAGAAAATAAAAAAAATACAATAAAAAATAATTAAATATTTACAACAGTATGTAATTTGGTGTGCAGTATGTTTATATATTTTATTACGTGTACGGTATAGTGTACAATTCATGCATTGCACAGTTTGTGCAGTACACAGTTTGTATATTATGTGTATAAAGAAATATAGTTTGTAAATATGTATATAGTATATTTGTATATTGCATTACGCATATAGTATAGTACACAGTTTGTATAATATATTATGCCTACAGTATGTTTACAAATGTATATTGTGTATACTGCATTACGTATACAGTATGCTTTCTTATATACTGTATCCATAATACAATGTACTAACTTACATTCTTCCATACTTAATTGTTCCATAGTCTGGCGCTAGTACAGAACTAGTAGTTCTATGCTAGCTATAAATTCTCTATCGAATCGAATAATGATTTATATTAAAATGTCCAATCAATGTACCTGTTTCCTGTCCAATGTTTGGTTCTTGTTTTGAGTCCCCAGGGATTTGTCTCAAATAATTTTTTAATGTATTAATATTTCATACTAACTCATTGAGTTAACACGTGCTAATGTTTAATGTTAATTCGTTCATGCTGATATTTCATAGTTCATGTGTGTTTCATGTTAACTCGTCGAGCGCACAGAAAGCGTTCAACTCTTTTGACTAGTCAATGATCTGTCTCAGATTGTTTCTGATTATTCTTATTGTCGAAAACACTACTTTTAAACGTAAACATTGATCAACCGAGTGCCTCCACGTCACACACATTTTTTTCTCTTTGCCTTTTCTTATATAAAATTCAACATTTCCTAAAAATTGGTAAATATAGTGGAAATCACCCATTTGCTTTTAAATGAGAGAGCATTTTTACACATAGTGACATGCTTTTATAATTTGTTACCACAGATGAAAAAGAATATACCGAGTACATTAAAGATACGTTGAATCAAATTCTCACATTTGTATATTCAAAGTATTTATTTTCCACGGTACGGCACTTTACACTACCTGTTTTCGAAATAGGGTAACACTTTCTTTGCACATAGCAGTATATGTAACTTAACATTGTTAGGTAAATAATACAGAGGATGTTAACTCATTTTTAGAATAATTTAGGGGTCGTTTAATTAATATTTAAAATGCAAATAAAATTTTTTAAATGTTCGATCTGATAACCTTTTTTTGCAGACTATAAGTCTGTATCGTGATTTTCATAACAGAAGGGCTTTTCGTTAATATTTCCAGGGGTAATGATTTCCATTCCTTATTCACTGCTTTCCAGAGTCCTTCAATCGTGATGCGTTTCCGCTTAGAGTATTCTCGAGAAACTAAAGTCACAACAGTTCATGGTTGGGGGGGGGAGAGAACTTCGCAGAAATATATTGAAAAATACACACATATATATAGTATATAATACCTGTATTAATCTTCAGTTTTTCGAGGAATGCCGCCGTATTCTTCGAAGCGACTTGTTTTGATGTATGACTTATTCTCTTGTAGTTTCATGCTTTGAAAGTCACCGGGACAAAGAAATGGAATTTTTTTCGGAAGTAAAGCTTTCTTTGATAATACTGTTAGCAATTTACACAATTCATTGCTAGAAGGTGTCAGGATCATTCAAAACTAGTCGTATTAATGTAAACGCGATAGATGAAAATGTAAACACGAGAAAGAATTTTGAGTTAGAATATGAAACGAATATATACTTGTCATTAAATAAAGTATTCGTTCTTGAATTTCGTCCTGATGAATAAGTAAAACTATATATGCAGTGGATACATGTGAGAAAAGTTTAAAGCCAACAGTACATTGAGTCGATTTTAATATCCCCCCATCGTTTTCACTTTAATATTTCATTGTAAGAGAATCCTGCGGCAATCCTAAGCCCTTTAGGAAACTTTCTTTACATGAACGGAAGTAGGTTTGTATATTTTTTCCTCTTCGTTTTGATAATAAATAAGCCTTTTTACTTCCTTGTACGAAGTAAAAAGGAAGTATTGTAATCGCGAAAAGTTTCAGGCATCATATTTCAACACAAATATCCATTTTCACCGCTATCGAATGCAGTTTAACGATGTTTTTGCGTGACATCTGTACGTAAGGACAGGATAAAGGACTCCTGCCCCCACCGAAAAATTGTAAAACTAATTTAAAATAAATTCTGAAGAGAAATTTTCGTGGCGTCTGCGCGTACGTACGTGTACGTACGAATGTATCTCGTATAACTCAAAAACGAGTGGCCTCAGAACGTTGAAATTTTGTATATAGGACTGCTATGACCTGTAGATGTGCACCTCGTATTTTGGTTGTAATCGGCCGCACCAAAAGTATATAAATATATGTATATATATATATCCACTCTGTTACTCGGCTCAGTGATCTCAGTTTCTTTATTCTTATATGTTTGTAAATTGTGCATTTTTTGCTTAAAAAATGATTGAATTATGTTGTTCTTATCTTCCGGTTAAAGTTTTTATGCCTTTAGTGAATCTGTATGCAATATTTTTAAAATTATCCACAATTTAAAAGTTGTTTAAGTGCCGGTAAGCCTAATGATTTTTGCCATGTCGCCATTGCTTGTTTACATTTGTAACAACAGAATAGTAGATTTGTTGCCAATCTAGAGAAAGTAAGCTTCCCAATAACAAAGATAACGCCTTCTTTTATTATTGCGAATTAAATCATTCTTAATGCATTCTGAAATTTATTCGAGGAAATAAGTGTTTAAGATTTACTTCATAATTTTCAATACAGACATCTTGAGTTTTAATGTATTTTTGCGTTGTCGCGAAGTGAGAACTGAATTAAATGAATGAGAAATACTGAATCGCCTGTGAAAAACTGTTTCTTTTCTTTTCTTTTCTTTTTTTCGTTGTTGTTGTTGCTATTTGCTTAATTTCTTTTATACATTGTTTTAGATTTATTCTAGTATTTGAATAGAATATGTGGCAACGATTAGATAATTCTTAAGATGATATAAATTTCTTATATTCTGAGTTAAAAAAATGAACGAAATGTAACGCTGTTAAGTGAATTTAGGGCCAGAGTGTTGCTATGGTAAACAAATATAGCGAATTTTAAAGAGTGTATTTATTCTATTGTGGTTTATGCGCTATCGACGAAGTAGATTTAATTCAATCCAGTAAGTTCAAATGAAAAGCAAGAAAAAACGTGTATAATTTAATATTCCGCACAAAGAAGTCATGTGGTGCACACATCATATTTTGTTTTGTTTTGTTTGCAGTTATTTAGGTGAACCTATGCTTCATCGAGTGTCACAATGTATTTCCGTTTACCTCCTAAACCGTTTTCTTACAAGGTTGCTTTACGTTGAGCCACATGCCTCGGCGAAAGCTGGTAAACATTGTTTTTCAACTCTTTCAAGCTGTAAATCTTGGTTTATTATTTTATTTAATGCCGTTACAGATTTATTTAAAGAATTTACAACTGATTACAGCGTTCCGAAATTTCTTTCTTTATCGATTATTTTTTTAGAAACATTAGAAACGGTAGGTACCTCTTTCAAGTATCCGTTTGTACACTTCTTCCCAAGTAGAAATAAAGATTGATGATTTTTCCATTTCCGATTAATGACATTGCTTATTTTGCATTTGGAAATTTTAATAACATATATTTTACAACTTTTTTGAATTATGGAATAGAAGTGTTTCGGTTCGGAAAGCACAAAAACATATCCTTTGACCCGCAGCTTGTTTTCATGCAACATTTTGAAAGAAGAGTGAATTTTTAAGTAGCAGAAGATATTTCTCATTTAATATAACAAACTGTTCCCAGAAATGTTTAGTCCAAAATATTTGCCTTTGTTTTTAATTCTTAGTCGAGATCGTTCTAAAATGTGTAAAGACTAGCGGTGATAAACAGAAAGAGCTGAATGAGAGCGCTTAGTGCCACCAAACGGAGAAAATGAAGTCCTCCAGGAAAACCAAGAACTCATTTGCTCATGAAAGCTGAAATTTATATTCATATTTTACGTGATAACATTAACAGTCACAAAAATAGTCAAATACTTTAAGATATGAATAGTGCAAACAGAACATAGAGATAAAAACCAAAATTCTTCTTAACAATTTAGGATATTGCAAATCACAAAATTGCTCACAGAGCAATGTATTAAGCTAAAAAATATAATGGTCTGTAACAGACCAAGGGATTGCATGAATTGAATACAACTCCAGTACAGCCTTTTATTTATATTTTTCATCAAAATAGGAGGAAAGCTCTGAGGATATTGGCTTCCCCTTTAAAAAAAATTTGCTCCACGGACTTGAGTTACAAACTCTGATGTTTAGGAGCCTACTTGTAATTTGAAAAAAGTGTGTAAATCAAAGTTCTTACCTAAAGCGTAACAAAATAACTTATAGGTTCTGCCGTGTGTAGAGGCTTATCTCGATGTTCCCCAGACCTTACTAGACTGGCATCGAGTAATAGCTTTAATCTGAAGCAAATGAAGTAAATTATAAGGAAATTAAAATAACCTTCTTATTTAACTCATTAAATGAACAGAACGCACTATTTGTGCTACAGAGGAACCCTTGCCACTTGCGGGTATTTAACATAACGTAAGATTAAGTTATTTCAGTGTATGCTACGTAGTCTGAGACTAATCACAAAATAGACTACTTAAACTGAATTAAGATAATTAAGGGCGTACGTTTTTGAACATCGGTCAGCAAAATGCTGAAGCCAGAACAACTTTAGTATAGTCGGACATAGTGCGTTATCTGCAAAGCGAAGCTACCAGGAGTTCTCACTCTAAGACATTTATAGCCTTGGCTAACATACACCACAACTAGGAAGACTACGGAACGAAAGCAGGACTAAGAAAGGAGTACACGACTACGGGAAGAAGAAGTTAAAGTAAAGGTTCAAATCATAACAAAAGGTTAATTAACATAAATCTCTATTAAGTATATCTAATGATATAAATGTTTTAGAAATTTATAAAATAATTATACAAATTTACGAGAATTCATACTGAAAGTTCTACCTGGGTTTGATCACAGACGAACGGTTTGACTGCATGATTCGTTTTACTAATGTGCAAACATGCATACGAGCCAGGTTCCTTTAAAACGTTCTCTACGGAAGCATCCTGCCTTAGGCAGGTAGTCTTCTTGAGCTTTGACATACTCAGTTAATCTAACTTGTTCAAAAATTGCACGTCCCATTCAGTGCAGACATCAGAAACAAGGACATATTATCAAAGTCACTTTAAGAAAAAGAGAACTGCTAATAAGGCTTTGTAGTGGGCTTAGAAGAAAAATTACTTTGGTTACGAAACAAGGTATACAATCTTTTAAAATACAATAAATGCCATCTTAAGATACAGATACTCCAAAAAAAAATGAGAATACACCCAGCCTTTTATTCATAAATGTAGATTTCAAAACAAATAAATAATAATTACTAATATAATATACTAATAAGAACAAAGATATCTTTATTTCATACACTTAATGAATAATTTCCCTTAAACTATGAAAGTTTCGTAAAGCTAAATGAATAATTTCATTTTTGACAATAATACAGAAAACTTAAAAAAAAAAAAAAAAAAAAAAAAAAAAAAAAACTTTAAAAGTTACTTGTAGCATTAAATTAAATATTAACAGAGTTTTACTTTAAAAATTTGAGAATACATTAAAAAAAGATACTTGTGTATTATCGCAATTACCTTAGTAGAAATGCCACCAAATTTTCAGAAAGTGCCAAACTCTGACAACCATGCTCATAGCCATTTTGCAGGTAGTCAGGCAATGGCGTCATTATCGTATGTTTATCATTTTTTTTTGCATTCCAAGTTCCAACGTATTTTATAGATTAATCTTTATATAAGATCTCCCAACGAAGCCGGAAATTTTTAAAATCCGATAGTTCGTTTCCTGCTCCCAAGAGGGCGTGAAGTTTTTGAATTATTATTTGACGTTTAATGTCATTTGTTCAATAGAGTAGTGTTCTAATGTACAGCGTGCTTTGTGCGTAAAATCGCTTTATAAGTGCTGTCTGACTTGAGTCGCTATTGGAATGATGAAAACCCAGGTGGAGTTGCATGAAAAGTCATTACATAGTTAGGCATTACATCCGAAAGTTACGGTGTGGTGTACACTTTTTACACCAGGATGAGGCCCAACTCATAATGCTCGTGTGACCATGGCTGCTTTAGGAGAACATCTTCCCGGACAAACTTGTATCTAAACATGGCGACATCTCGTGACCTATGAGCACTCCAGATTTGAGTAAATGCGACTTTTTTTGGGAGGAGATTTCTGAAGAGCAATGTGTGCATAGATAGACTGCAAACAATATTGGAATTAAAACTAACATCAGATAAGAAACTGTACGTTTTGTTTTGTTAGGACGTAGTCCGGTCCACCTTGCAAAACAAAGTTTGGCCTATGACCCTATACGGTCTACTAAGTGTTTCGTGAAAACATTGGTGCCTTTTAAAATTAAATTTGAAATTTTTATTAATTATTTTAAACTTAAAATGAATTTTAAATTTTTTTGCATCGCGGCAGATTCCGTATTTTTTGCCTTAAACTCAAGTTTAAAAATATGCGCTTGTGGAATTTGCCAACAAGGAAGAAACTGAGTTTATATTTCTGCGGGAATACAAAATTTTGTAACAAAATCTCTGAAGGGAATAATGATGAGAGATGCGTTTGGTATGTAGCCACTGCCCGATGTCGAGTTCGTGCAATTTTCTGATGTTTTTTAAACAGTAACAAAGGATTTCGCAAAAAATGTCTTCTTACGATAGCTATCGAAAATCTAGCAGTCATTTTTAAAAAGTCACGAAAACTGCCATCTTGAACCCGATAAGTTCCTTTTATATTTTCAACTGTAAAAGTCGCCAAATTGCGACAATTTCGTTTGTTTAATACGTAAGTACCGTAAAACATTTAGCCTTTTATATTGTCGTTCCGTACATCTGCAGATATTTTGTACCATTCATCTTGCAGAACATATTTAAAATGATCTTTGCTTATTCTTTCATTTGATGCATAGGCGTTTTGAGCATGAACCACGTATTTTCAATGATATTGATATCTGTACACTCATGAGAATTATGCCGATGATTACAGTGATAAAGATATAGGGTCCTGTTGTATATAGAAGCTTGCGTTAATATTGTGCAGACCCTATTAGACTGGAAGCGAGTTATCGCTTAGTTTGAAACAAATCACCAAATCTTAAGAAGTTTGAAATAACCTTTTCATTTAAATTTTAAATGAACAAAAAACATAGCTTGTGCGACAGACGAATCTTCGATACTTGCAAGTATTTACATGAACATAACAGAAAAAAAAATAAAAAATAAATTCATAGCAACACAAGAATACATAACAACCGAATGACAAACAAAAACATAAATTAAAATATCCTCGCATGTTTTAATTTTAAAAGGACCAATTTTATCGTTACTTTTAACATCCGAGCATATTTTCAAAAAAAAAAAAAAAAAGTTATTTATTTGTATAAAATGTTAATTTCGTTAATTAACAATGATGTGATTTGTAATAACATAAATTAATGAAAATGTCAATATTAGCCTGAGTTTGCTGTTTAGGATTCTTAAAAAACTAAAATGAAATATAAAGCTGAAATAAGTTTATTCTGGATCACTTTGGGCCAAATAAAAATTATAGTAGTGTTACAAAACGGAAGAAACTATATAAAACTGAAATCCAATTTTTTACTACTTACAGAAAATACCATCACTTGGTTTCTCAATGCATCGGAGAAGAACGATACCTCGAAGGAACCTTGTTTTAATTCCATGAGTCAAAATGAATTCATAGAGATTCTATGGACAAGTTCCTTAGATTTTCCAGGTAAGCACCTCAGTTAGCTATTGTGATCGCGAAGATGCCGTTACAAAAAAAATTTTGGAAGTGTCGATTGTTGGGAATTCTTGTTTTCCATTATTTTAGGATTTCTGATTTCCAAGAAGAATCAAAGCAGAATTCGGAGAAATCTACTTACATAAAAGAAGTATGTTACCGCTCTGAAAAACTCAGTATATTTAATTGTTCTTTGAATTTAATAAACAAATGCAGGGATTTAAGAAATATGTCATGCTACTGCCCGAATTAAAATATTTTTAAGTATGTTAGTATGTTCAACAAAGTGTAAAATATTTAATTTTTCTTTCAATATTTTTATTTTATCCTCTGACCGGCAAAGCCGTATATATACGGCGTAAAATACGTTTTGTGATGTTTTAAAAAATGTATATACTTGCATCTTAAAATTTGGATCCATTAAATTAATATATTAAAAACATAAATCCAGGTATAAAGTCCCAGGGAATTTTGACATAAAAAAATTCTTTCTCATGGTAGTTTCTTTTAGGAAAGCACCGGGCCGGTCAGTAGGTTGATTAAAAAAACTAAGCTAATTAACAGAAATAAAAGCACATTCATTTCAATTATTATTACTTTATAAGTTCCTCGTAAAATGACACTTGTTGGATTCATTAAAATCATCTCTCTCTCTTCATCCATATAATAAAATAGAGTGTCCGTAGTTTGTGTGCGTGTAATTCATACAAATCTACAATTTTTTTCCGATCTTGATATAATTCTGCGCACTTGACCTTCAAAACAAGAGAAGGGATTCTATTCTACAAAAAATTTCGAAAAATCATCCCACGCGGCTGGGGGCCACCACTCGGGCTGTTTGTATTAGAATGTTGCACTTACGTTAACTATTTTAGGTTCAAGCAGCCGTTGTTGCGTTCCCACCATCAGTTCTTACAAAACCTGTTACAGCACCTCATTATCTCTCAACCATCTTCCAGAAGTCAACCTGTATTCACACATAACATTCGCCACCTCCTGTGGGGCAATAGTTGGTTGTGATCAATGGCGTAACTAGAACTTTTCCCAGCCGAAGTTGTCCCTAAATTTGTCACTTTTTTTGATGTACCAACAAATAGCTACAGAAAACTTCAAAATGGCGTACGAGTAAATATATTTAAACAGTTTTTATTTCTGAAGGAACACTTTAATTAAAATGTTTTAAAATTATATTTTTATTTTGTTTTTTAATTTTATTCGCACAGCCATCCATGAGATTGTGAAAGTCTATTTGATTGCTTTTGCTGTGATGTAGACAGCAGAGAAAGATTTCTTGAATGCAAAAACAAAATTTCTTGAATTCAAAAATAAAATAAAAAATTTGTTAATTTTATTCGCAGAGCTAGCCATAAGATATATTTATTGTGTGAAGGTATGTGAAGGTATATTTGATTGCTATTGCTGTGATGTACACAGCAGAGAAAGATTTCTTGACTACAAAAATAAACATTTGTTTTTCTTAAATACATCTTATATAATTTTTATTTAGAAAAAGCTTTTTACTTTTGGCAGCACTTACAGTGCTTGAGAAGAAAGTTTGCAATAGTATTACAATATTCGGAACTTTGTTCTGAAGATTTTATTTTAGAATAAACTACAAAAGCTTAAAAAGACCTGCCTTTCGAAATTTCCGGTTTATTTTTCTTAGCAATAATGTAAATGAAACTTCAAAATACTTCTGTCTTAACGAAGAAGTCTTCCTTTATTGAAGTCATATTTATCATAATTTATTTATTATTCATAGTTTACAAACAAATGTTTTCTCGGAACTCCTTCGAGAATATTCTCGGGAAAACTGCTAGGAATGCGTTCTAGAATGTTCTCACTCAAATGGCATATTGCTAATTTTGTCGCCAAATGGGAGATTTCGCGCCACTCTCTGCTCTGCTTTTAACTCTGCTTTTCTCTGCCACTTTCTGATAACCCTAAGTCCGCATTGCGGGAAAGCTATCTTACTGCACCTAGGCTTTTCGCAACAATAAATTACTGAAATGGAAACTTGCTGTGATTTCAAATCCATTTGTGGGATTACGAGAGATTAATGATCTGTGAAATACTGATTGAATATAGATCTGCTGGTCAAATAAGTAAAGGAAATTTTCATCATATGCTGTTTTCAGATTAAGGCACCATGCAAATTATTCCAAGTATCTCCGTGCGAGAAATCCATATACCGACTTGTATAACAAAAATTTTATTTTCAATGGGAGTCTTTTGTTGCTATGTATACAATCCGTTTTATTAAGCTAAAAACGTTTTTAGCGTTAAATGATTGACAAAAAAATCTTGTGTTTAACTCTTATTTGTATGTTTATAGTGACTTTTTTCTTTTACGGAATTGCATCAGTGTACCATATTTCATCTCGTATGCCCCCCCCTTCCGTTTTTACTAATGATTACTAATGATCCGAAAATGAAAATTATACGATTAATTTAATTTACGAAGGATGCAGTTATAATAAATTATATTAAAAGATCTTTTTCATATAATTCTAATTTTGTAAGCTCTTTAGCGTTGTTTAATTCTACTAATAGAACTAACAGCTCTCTTCCTTTTCCCAGGTTTCGTGATATTTATTCTTCTCGTGGATTACATAGATAGAAAGAAATTATTGTGTGCCTCATTCCTCATCGTTTCATTGTTCGTTTTTCTTCTTTTGATCCCGACGGAGAAGTGAGTACCTAATCAAGAATATTGTTGCGTTTTTCTTTTCTGACACGAGTTGTTACGTTATTTCTTCCTTCACGTTCGTATGGGGTTTGTAGATTTGGAGTGAATAACGACGACACTTGATGAAGTATCGAAACACACTTTATTTACCAATATTAATCAGATAGCTTCAAAATCACTTTTACAGTCGTCGAACTGTTATAAACACGCTGACACGTTCAGCGACACAGCCTTCACACTGTCAGGCAATAACGGTAGACACAGCTTCACTGCAAAGCACCCGAGTATAGCTCCCAACTCTGCTTGGTCGTTCTCGGAACTCCACGTACTCTCGAGACTCTTAACGCGATGCACTCGACAATACACAAGAGTATAGATCTCGACTCAGCACAGTCTAAGACAAAACTCGACGATGCACTAATTCGCGATGCACTAAAAGACTCTCTCGATGCACTCGACGACCAACTCGGCGCTAGACTTCGAGACACTCGCTCACTATCAGCTTGCTAGACGAAGCACACACTGACTGCGGACCAGCAGGTTTTATATAGCTTTCAGCTTGTGTTGGAGAACATTCTGGGCTAAACTGGTAAGGATTCTTTCCAGAAGGTTCTCCATTTGTCCATGGTATATCGTCAATTTCGTCACCAAATGTCACCAAATGGGCGATTTCTCGCCAAATGTGGCAACCTTGTCTTTTCTTGCCATTTTTATGTCATCTCTAAAACTGCTTTGCGGGGAAGCTATCTCACCGCGCCTGTACATTTCGTAACAATATAATCAATGCTTGCACGCTAAGCTGATATGGGAGCAATAATTAGAAAATATAAAATATATAAAAATATCACATTTCCTCGCTTATTACCCCCTTTTTTAAATTAATTTAACCATCCGAAAATTCAGAGTAAAAAATCATGCGAATCATTTAATTTCCGAACAGAGTTACAGGACAAATGGAAAGTAGTCGTGGATAAACTACTGGCCACTATAACAAGATTATTTCTTTAAAACAAAGAAGCGGGTTTGGAAATATCGAATACATCATTAGAGATAAAGTTACAACGAGCTGGAAAGTAAATAATAGAAGTAAGGTAAAATCACACGTTTGGAAAGTTTCTCAAATGTGAAAACACCTGCCATGTCCAAGTAGCTTAACGAAAAATCTGCACAAAATACCTTTCAAACAATGAATGTAAGGGAAAATAAAAGGGATTAAAAGGGATGAAATACTATTACAAAGATTCAAATAAAAATTGTATTGACTGAATCAAAATAAAAATAATCTAGGGAATAACAATTTACAAACAAACTTTACCTCAGAGGGAAAATATGTGTCAACAGATGAAGCGGAAATTGATACGAATATTTTACAAATTTTTAGAGGCTTTCGCTAAAACGCTGTGTAGAAAAATAACGAAAGGAAATATGGTAGTTACTTTAATCATACTCTGTGTATTTGAACCCTACATTTTTAATCTTAATAAATGTTTTAATTATAAAACTTAGCTTCATAACATTCAAAACGGGTATTTCTTACGCTAGAACATTGAAGTGATTAGAATGCATCTATTTTACAGTTCAAAATGTATTAATTAGACAGTTGTAATACATAATGTATTCAAGTGTTTGTTTAACGCAAAATTAAGCACATAAAATAACACAAAATGAAGCGCAATTTAATCAAACAATTAATTACTAAAAATGATACCTATAATCAGTATATCGGCTTAAGATTACTAGATAGATAATTTCTTTTCTTCTTTACTCTGTGTTCTTTGAACTCTGAGCGAAATGAAACACAGGTGGAAAACGACCAGAAGTTCCCTTTAGTATATTCATCCTCTCTATGTCTTAAATTAAAAAAAAGCTCCTCGTATGTATTTCTGCGTATATAAAAAAACCTCGTATGTATTTCTGCGTATGGTGTGCCTATGATGGTCAAACTATAATGAAGATTGACAGTAGTTTTGAAAATAAGAATGATTTTTGTCTCGCTTAGTGTTTTAATAATTACATTTAACATTTGTATGGGGGGAGGGAGCTGAGAGCGCCGCTCAAGAAAGATATCACCAAAATCACTTGACTCAACGGCAGTCATATTTGACTCGATCAGCTTTAAGCTATGTGATCCTAAGTTCACGAGTTCTGTCCTCGACCAAGCCAAAGAACGTGCACGTAAAGAAAGAAAACTTCCATAGACGTAGCGTAGATCAGTTTACTTCTGCTCCGATAAATCGTGAAAGGACAAATTCTCGTTGCCAAATCGCCAGGTGTGCAGGAAATTGAGGAATAAGGTACAAAACCAGAGAACTTGTAGAATTCTTTCTTTCACAAAACTTTTCGCAATAATGTAAACTCGGATTTCGTAAGTTTTATTTACTCAAAATAAATAATCTATTAATTAATAGCACGAATCACTGATTTGATTTCTGTCGATACGTTTGTAAAAAAAAAAAAAAAAAAAAAAAAAAACTGATGTGTTCACCACATGACTTGTGAATTATACGCATTTTTTCTTACATTTCATTTAAACTTATTGGATTGAATTAAATCTACTTCGCCGACAGCGCATAAACCACAATAGAATAAATGCATTCTTCAAAATTCACTCTAGTATTTGTTTACCAAAGAGACACTCTGGCGCTAGATTCACTTAACAGTATTAATAATTATATGACAGTTAACTTATATAATAATTATATAACGGAAACTAAGTTAACTGTTATATAATCCAATAATTACATAACAGTTAACTTATATATTTCGTCCACATTATAACTCATAATGCACAAAATTTATATATCATTTAAAGAATAGAATTATCTAATCGTTGCCGCATGTTCTATTCAAATACTATAATAAAGCTAGAAATGATGTATAAAAGAAATTAAGCAAACAAAATAAAAAAAAAAAAAACAGTTTTTCACAGACGATTGAGTATTTCTCATTTAATTAATTTAGTTCTCACTTCGCGAGAAGGCAAAAATGCATAAAAACTCAAAATATCTATATTAAAAATTACGAAGTAAATCTTAAACATTTATTTCTTCAAAAAAATTCCAGAAAGAATTAAGCATGATTTAATTGGCAATAATAAATGAAGGCGTTATCTTTGTTGTTGCGAAGCTAAGTTTCTCTAGATTGGCAACAAATCCACTAGTCTGCTGTTTCAAATGTAAACATCAATGGCCGCCACATAAAAAAGGCTTAGCGGCACTTAGACAACTTTAAAATTGTTGATAATTCTAAAAATATTGCATACAGATTTACTAAAGGCATAAAAAGCTTAACTGGAAGATAAAAACAACATAATACAATCATTTTTAAAGCAAAAAATGTACAATTTACAAACCTATAAGAATAAAGAAACTGAGATCACTGAGCCGGGTAACAGAGTGGATATATATATATATAAATATATTTATATACGTTTGGTGCGGCCAATTGCTACCAAAATACAAGGTGCACATCTGCATGTTATAGCAGTCTTATATACAAAATTTCAACATTCTGAGGCTACTCGTTTTTTAGTTATGCGAGATACATACATACATACAGGGGCTGGACAAAAATATGGAAACACCTTTAAAAAAACATGTTTCTTTGCTTAATATGGCGTAGGAAACCCGTTGGCATCCAAAACATCTTGCAGTCTTCTCGGAATGGATAAATACAGTTCCTGTATGTTTGCCAAGGGAATATTATACCATTCTTCCTGCAAAACGGTGGCAAGTTCAGATAACGATGTTGGCGGTGGATAACGAGAACACACTTTCCGTTCCAATATAGACCACAAAGGTTCGATAATATTCAGGTCTGGTGACTGTGGTGGCCAGGGGAGATGGGACAACTCATCCACGTGCTCAGAAAACCAGTCCTGGACAATGTGAGCTATGTGAACAGGGGCTTTGTCGTCTTGGAAGACACCATCACCATCGGGGAACAATGTTTGTACCATGGGATGAAATTGATCGGCCAAAATGTTCACATAAGTCTTGGCAGTCATGTGCCCTGACACAGTTATCATGGGGCTAGCAGATAACCACGATATGGCTGCCCAAACCATAACAGAACCACCTCCATGTTTCACTCTTGGCAACAAGCAGTCTGTATTATAGGCTTGAGATGGCCTTCTCCAGACGTAAACTCGGCCAGAAGTGGGAAACAATGTGAAAGAAGACTCGTCAGACCATATTACTCGCTTCCACTGCTCTATAGTACAGGCTTAAACACACCTTTTCCTGTTACGGGCATTAGCATCACTGATGAGTGGCTTCTCAATTGCAGCACAGCCAGCAATTCCCTGTTTATGAAGCTCCCTTCTAATTGTTTTGGTACTCACAGGGTTCGGTAACACAACATTCATTTCAGCAGTAACTTTTGCAGCTGTGATCTTCTTATTTTTCGTCACAATTTCCCTTAATGATCGTCTGTCACGATCACTCAGGACACACTTTCGTCCGCGCTGTGATTTAGCAGATGATGTTTTTCCGCTTTTCAAATATGCGGAATAAATCTTCGATACAGTACCTCTTGAAACACTAAACACCTCTGCTACCTTGCTTACGGAAGCACCTACCATACGTGCTCCAACAATTTGCCCACGTTCGAAGTCTGTTAACTCTGACATAATGCAATGACAACCTCACATAACAGTACTCCGACAACAACTGAACTGTTTAGCACATTTACGAAGTTGTATAGGTGGCGTCAGTAGTCAAAAACGCCAGCGCCACCTACATATTTCATTAAAATCAATCTTTCTTTTCAAACATGCATTTCACAAGGTGTTTCCATATTTTTGTCCATCCACTGTACGTTCGTACAGACGCCACGAAAAATTCTCTTCAGAATTAATTTTAAAGCAGTTTTATAATTTTTTGAAGGAAAAGTGTATTTTATTCTGTCCTTACGTACAGATATCACGCAAAAACATCGTTAAATTGCATTCGATAGCGGTCAAAATGGGTATTTTCGTTGAAATATGCTGCCTGAAACTCTTC